AAAAAAAACAGTCATTTTAACTAAAGTGAGATAATATCTCATTATGGCTTTGATTTGCATTTCCCTGATGATTAGTGATATTGAACATTTTTTCATATGCCTGTTTGCCATTTGAATATCTTATGTTGAGAAATGTCTATTCAGATCCTTTGACCACTTTTAAAATCAGATTTTTTAAAAAAACATTTTGGAGTTCCCTACATGTCTTGCATATCAACCCCTTGTCAGATAGTTTGCAAACATTTTCTCCCRGTCTACAGGTTATCTCTTAGCTCTGTTGATTGTTTCCTTTGCTGTGCAGAATCATCTTACTTTGTTATAGTTCTATTTGCCTATTTTTAAATTTTGTTGCCTATGTTTTAGGGTCTTATCCTCCCAAAAAGCATCATAGCCTATACCAATGTCTTGACGTGTTTCCCCTATATTTTCTTTAGTAGTTGCATAGTCTACATTTAGGTGTTTGGTCCATTTTGAATTGGTTTTTGTATATGGTTTATTTCTCTGAATATGGATATCTAGTTTTTCCAACACCATTTATTGAAAAGATTGTCCTTTTTTCCAATCAACTCATTGCTGATGGAGATTTTCTGATCTTCATCTGCAGATGAATGGATAAATAATGATACATACACATTATGGCATTATTCACTCATAAAAGGATAATTAAATCCTATCATTTGCAGCAACATGGATGATGGTGCTGGGGACATGATGTGATGTGAAATAAGCCAAGCACAGGAAGGCAAGGATTGCATCTTTTCAGTCATATGTGGAAATTTTAAAAGTTGATCTCACAGAAGAAAAGAGTAGAATAGTGACTATCGGAGGCTAAGGAGGGTTGGTGGAATAGAGACAAGTTGGATACTGGGTCCCAAAACACAGATAGGACAGAAAAGTTCTAGTGTTGTACAGCAGAGTAGGGTGACTATAGTTTACGAGGATCTCTTTTATATTTTGCAAAGAACAGAGTGGAGGTGCTTGTGAGCTTCCAACACAAAGCATGGTAAGTGTTTAAGGAGACAGAAATGCTAACTACCCTTATTTGATAATGTGTATACATGTATCTAATTATCACTCTATGCCCTGTAAATGTATATGATTATTATATGTTAATTAAAAGTAAGTTTTTAAAATGACAGTGTGGCAGCTGTGACACAGCACCATCTACAGAGGGTGGCCATCCCAGCCAGGCTTCTCCAAATACTCTCTCCTAGCCTTCTAGCATTCTCTTTCCTTGTCATTAGAAGGAATCTGACTGTCTTTGGATGAAAAGAAGCTTCTTTTGCAGGCCAACCCATGCCTGAGCGGAGTACACCTACTGTCCTTGACCTTAAATGGTATAAATTAAACCACATAGGAATCCCATGTTTTGTATATTTTTTTTCCAGCAAAGAAATAGGAAAGCAATAAAGAAAGAAAGGTCTGGGGAAAACATATGTGTGTGTACAAACATATGTATACACACACACACATACACACTTAAGAGCAGAAGTCTTTATTCAAATACAGTTTTAAATGGAAGAGTGATAAATAAGACAGATAAAATCAGAACTGCTTAGGAAACACAGGGATGGGGCTCAGGGACTGCTTACCCTTCTTCATTTTTTGGTGCCTTCTTAGACACCTTTTGCACAACTCTAAGGACAGAAACTCACAGCCACAGAAACTCACATCTCCTATCCTTAGCCAGATAAGGATAGAAACCACAGAATTCTGGGTTCTTTTGCTAGGGTTTGGGGTTTATTTCCAGTTATGGAGCCAAGGAAGTGGCTCATTTAGTCCTACGGTCCTCAGCGACTTAGAGGACCTCCCATGTTTCATGTCTCATTTTCATGCTCCTGTGGAAATAGAAAGCCAGTTCTAACCCAGCGCCATCCCTTCCCTATTTGAAAGCCTGGGAGTTGTGGCTTCCTGCAGAAGGAATAATGGGGAAATATTTCTCCCAGATGACGGTGGTTTGCTGACCACAAAACCCCTGAGGCTTTGTGACCTGATTCCAGGCTGTGGCCTTGTAGGAAGTACACCGTGAGGTTCAGGGTTCATGGGGGCATTAAAGGATGTGATACACTACTGTTATGGTGTGTAGATGAAGTGTAGCCCCAAAGCTCCTATGAATCCAGGAATATTCAAAGGTGAAATGATTGAATTGTGAGAGCTTACCCTAATTAGTCCATCCTGGTTTGAACGACGGGGTGGTAACTGCGGGCAGAGTATAGCTGGAGGAGGGTCACTCAAGATGTGTCCTGAAAGGCTGGTTTTTCCTGCAGCCCCTTCCTCCTCTCTCTTTCTCTCTCCTTCTCTCTCCCCCTCTTTCCTTGCTGCTAAGAGGGGAGCCGCTTCCTTCCTCCTCTGCATCCTTACCCCATGGTGTGCTGCCTAGCAACCCTGAGCCCTGAGGAATGCAACTGCCCATCTATGGACTAGGACCTCTGAAACTGTGAGCCCCCAAATAAGTGTTTCCTCCTCTGAGTTTTCCTTGTCAGATATTTCAGTCACAGCCATGCAAAAGCTGACTAAAACAACTGCACGTTTTCCTTCCAAGTGTCTCAAAAAGGTGATCCTAGAGGCAGCTGTGGTCTATACAAAAGGACCTCCTTGTGTGTCCCTGAGCTGAAAGCCCGTAAGGTTCGATTTCACTCTAAGATAATCTCAACAATACTCTCCCCGTTTCCAAGAGGTGCAAGAAGAGGATGTAAAGCCCGAGTATGTTTTCAGACAGTATCATAAGTGCTGCTTTCCCAGCAAGGGTTTTGACTAGCTTCCATGAAGGCTGAACATAATCTCTTTGTGTGATTCAAAAGAAGAGAGAAGTTTAGTTGAGGGATAATCCTGTCCTCTGCAGCAGGGGAACCTAATTTGCAGAAACCAGACGAGGGGGCAGACAGCCACCGACTGCAACGCTGATCTCGGCTTTTCTACTCTGAAGTCAGTTCAGCTCTCTGGAATTCAAGATCTAAGAAGGGACTCCTGCCACCCACCTTCTGCCTTTCTGAAAACAATCAGCAGGAAGTGAGCACAGAGAGCCTGGCAGAAGCCCAGCAAGAGGAGATGGCACTCAGTCAACAAGAAGCGCTAACTTCCAATTGAGTTTGCCACTGTGGTGACAAGAGACGGTGCTGCCATGATCCATTTTCTCATCTGTCATTTCTTTATTTTCCCACTTCGAAGTCCTAGAGTGGAAAGGATTAGATGATACTTTTCCTCGGCCAAATCTACTCCAGAAAAAGGGGATCTTTTTTTTCTTTATTTAAAATTAGATATTTTATAAATTTTTAAAAAACAGATTTTTTTTTCTCTTTTTAAAATTTATTTTAGTTAGGTCTATATGACAGAAAATGCATTTTGATTTATTGTACACCATTGCAGCACCGCTTTGCATTTCTCTGGTTGTACAAGATGTAGCGTCACACCCTAAGTGCAGTCTTGCATATATGTACCTGGGGTAATGATGCAAATTTATTTTTTAGAGAAGTTTTAGGTTCACAGCAAAATTGAACAGAAAGTACAGAGTTCCCACATATCCCCTTCTCCTACACAYAGATAGTCTTCCCATTATCAAGATCCCACACCTGAGTGAGGCAATTGCTATGACCAGTGAACCTGCAGTGGTATAAACTTATCAGCCAATGTTCAAGTAGGGTTTACCCGTATTATTGTATATTCTGTGGACTTGGAAAAAAATGTATAACGACACATGTTCACTCTCATTATATCTTATAGAGTAGTTTCACTGCCCTAAAATTTCTCTGTGCTCTGCTTATTCATCCCTCTGCCCAATAACGCATGGTAAAGATTGTTTTATGGTCTCCACAGTTTTTCCTTTTCCAGAATGTTATATAGTTGGACTCATAGAGTGTGGAACCGTTTCAGCTTGACTGCTTTTTCTTAGTGATTTGTTTTTAAGGGTTCTTTCTGGGTTTTTTTTTCATGGCTTGATAATTCATTTCTTTTTAGCTCTAAATAATATTCCATTGTCTGGATAACCACAGTTTATCCATTCATCTACTGAAGGACATCTTGTTTGCTTTTGAGATTTGACAACTATGAATAATGTATAAATATTTGTGTACACTTTTAATAGACATGTTTTTAGCTAATTTGGATAAATACCAAACAACATGTTTGCTAAATCATATTGTAAAAGTGTGTTTGGTTTTGTGAGAAACTTCAAGACTACCTTTCAAAGTGCATGTACTCTCTTACATTCTCATTGGCAGTGAATTAGAATTCCTGTTGTTCTGCTTCCTCACCAGCATTTACTACTGTAAGTGTTTTGGATTCTGGCCATTCTAATGGGTACATAGTAGTCATCTTGTTATTTTCAATTTTGAATCACAAGTGTACTTTTATATTTGTAATTTTATACTAGTTAATTAATATTGGACTTCCTCCAAGATTGTGAGTTCCATGAAAACAAAGAATTCCTCTGTTCTTGCCTATCATTTTATAATTTATGTCCATCCAGCACAATGCCTTGGACAGAGCAGCCTTCATATATTTGAATGAATGGAGCACCTTACCAGTTCATTTTGAGTATGAACTTTTGTAAAAAAAGAGAAATAAAGAAGAGAAAGCTAAGACTACTGGAGATGATGAAGCAGAGTCCGATCTGCTTAGACCATTCACCCAAGAAATGTCCGAACTCAGCAGTGTCCACAGCCATCCTCGGAGGTATCTGGTCATTTGATATAGCTCTGCACCATCCTTTCTGCATCATCTGAGTGAACCAGATTTCTTTCTCAAACACTTCTTCAGAGCTTCATGGATGTCTCTATTCCTCAGGCTGTAGATGATGGGGTTGGACATGGGTGTCAGGATGGTGTAAAGCAGAGAGAACCCCTTGCRCAAGAGTGGGGAAGAGTTGGCTGAGGGTACGAGGTAAGTGGCAATCAGTGTCCCATAAAACACCGTGACCACCATGATGTGGGAAGAGCAGGTGGAGAAGGCCTTCCTCCGGCCTATGCCGGATGAGATTCTTAGGATAGAGGCAAGGATGCAGGAGTAGGAGGCTGTGATGAGGAGAAATGGGACCAGAGTCACTGCAGAAGAGGTGGCGAAGGCAATGGTCTCAGTCAGTGAGGCGTCCACGCAGGAAAGATGGACCAGAGGGGTGAAGTCACAAAAGAAGTGATCGATTTCATTAGGTCCACAGAAGGTGAGTCTACACAGCAGGACCAGGGTGATTGATGTGAGAAGGAAGCAGGAGAGCCAAGAACCAGCAGCCAACCTGAGGCAGAGGGGGCCAGTCATGAGGAGGGGGTAGCGGAGAGGTTGGCAGATGGCCAGGTAGCGGTCATAGGACATCACAGCAAGCAAGAGGCACTCGGTGGCAGCCAAAGATCCAAAGAAGTAGAACTGTGCCAGGCAGCCAGCCACAGAGATGGTCTTCTGTTGGGCTAGGATAATCAGCAACATCTTGGGGACGATGTTGGAGGTGTACCAGATCTCCAGAAAGGACAAGTTCACCAGGAAGAAGTACATGGGGGTGTGGAGGGGGTGGTTGAACAAAACTAGCAGGACAATGAGGGTGTTTCCAGAAAGAGTTAAGATGTAGAARACTAAAAACATCACAAAGAGGGAAATATTTAGGTGTAGGATGGAAGAGAATCCTCGGAGCACAAATTCTACTATCACTGTCTGGTTTTCCCAAGATGGGATCACCATACCTCGGCCTCCCTAGGAGCAGAACACCCAGSAGTGAAATACAACAAAACATGGAAGGTTCTTTCTTAGCTTACACAGAGAACGTGGACAAGGAATGGGCTTTATTCCCCGTCCAGGTTTTTATTCAAGTGAAGAGAGAGAGACCATCTTTTTGTTTCAAGAACCTAAAATGGGAAATGACAGAATCTGGAGTAAGAACCTGTGAGTTCAAGGCCCTCTTCTTCCCCTCTGTTGTATCCTCATCCCATCCCCTTAGAGGGGATGGAGGACAAAGAAARGGAGGGAGAATCACCCACTGATGTCCATCCTGAGTGTGTACTGTGGTRGTCCAAGGAAGATCTAAATGGAGGTGAGACAGAGAGGAAGATGAGGAGCATATCCAGAGGGTTCGCAAACTCTCCAAGAGAGAATCTCAAGAGTCAAAGACCCAAGGCACTATTGACCTTCAGGGAAAATCAATGCTTGTCAAATCAATTTAATTTTCCTCTCCTTTAAGCCTCTTAATGGGTTGGGAGGGAAGTTTCTTACTTCTGTCTTGGTTTCCATGGCACTATCAAAAGAAAGTCCTGCTAGTGTGAGGCTTGAGACTCTCTTGATGCTAAGGTCAGTGTAGATACAGGTGTGACCCAGGGCAGAAATGCTTTCTCTCATCTTTCATTTGCTTCTTTTTTTTTGTGGTACTGGAGATTGAACCCAGGGCCACTCTACCACTGAGTTACATTGGCAGCACCATCCCCTCCTTTTTATTTTGAGACAGGGTCTTGCTAGGTTGCCTAKCCCCCTTGAACTTGTGATCCTCCTGCTGGGTCTCCTCAGTAGCTGGGATTAYGGGTATGCACCACCAAGCCTGGATCTCACAGTTTTAAACAGACAGAATCAGCCTCATTAAAAAGACCTTAAGGCTGCAGCRAATGGGAAACAAAGATTCAGAACCAGGTGGCCTAAAGCAGCATTTGCAACCAACCAGGARTATAAGATAGCCTTGGATTCTTTTTGAATGAGTTAAGAAAGACCAGTTCTCCTCTTCAGTCTCATCCTGGTGGAAGCTCAGGGAAGATACGAGAATTTGCCTCCAAAATACTGTAGCCACAGGTAGGGTCTGARTCTGATCCACTTTATTATTCTTAACCTCCTAGGACTATATTGGTACCTCCTTATGGAGGGACAAGATGGCTGAGGGAAGTAAAGTGAGATGAGAAAACCATGCATGAGTGTAACAAAGAGGTATTTACCATGAGTAGTCAGAAAGCCCTAAACAAATCAGGTATTCTGCTTTATGAGTCAGACTTTGAACACATCAGTTTACCTTCTCTGAGACACAGTTTGTCCTCTGTAAAATGGGATGCAGGGTTGTATAGGAACTTAAAATGTGCCTAACATACAAAARTCATATAAGTGAAGAGCTGGAATGTCCCTGAGTATTCAGGGCTGCAGACATTACTTAATTTACCATGGAATTGGCCATACTTTGAAGGTAACATTAGTACCAAATATCAATATTCTTTGCCCAYGGAATTGTGTGAGTATTTAAGCTGTTCCTGACACCTTTTATCACACTKACAGCATTTTGACAATACACTGATCCCATTTTAAAACTGATCCAGGCTGGGCATGCCTATGATCCCAGAGACTCAGGAGGCTGAGGGAGGAGGATTGAGAGTTCAAAGCCAGCCTCAGCAAATTAGCGAGGCTCTAAGCAACTTAACAAGAATTTTTTTTATTAGTTGCTCAAGACAATACATGATCTTGACATATCATACATTTGATTCAAATGGGGTATGAATTCTCATTTTTCCACGTGTACAGATTGCAGGATCACATTGGTTATACAGCCACGTCCATACATACAGCAATACTAGTGTCTGTTGACACTAAGAATTTGTTTCTAAATAAGAATATTAAAAACAGGCAGGGAATATGGCACTGATCAAGTGTCCTAGGGACCATACTGTGGAGTACTAGTTCCAGCTTTCTAAGTGATTTAYAGAACTAGCCTAGAATTTGTCCTACTGGTGGTCTAGGTGCCCAGAGGATACCCAGCAACAGTGATTCCAACCCTGACTCATTGAGGGGTGCTCGGAGAAGGTGCATTATTTGTGCTTCTCTACTCCCTGAGAAGCACAAATAATGATCAGAGAACTCAGAGAAAGGGCTCCAGTTATGACAGTTCAACCAGATGCTTCAATGCTGCTGCTGCTGCTGCTGCTGCTGCTGCTGCTGCTTCTGCTGTTAGTAAGGATGCAATGATTGCCCTGTCATAGTACTGTTCTAAGTTCCAAAAGCACAGGACTCATATAATCGTTATGTGGTGAGTACTCTTGTAATGCTCACTTTATAGATGCAGGCACACTTTACATGGAGGCAGAGACCTTAAATGCTCATCAGCTAGAAAATAACAGAGATGAGATTTAGATTCACTGTGGATCTCATGCATCTCTTGGGGCCTGACTACAAAGACTAGTTTGCATCATCTCACAGAAGTGGGAAGAAAAAAATTCATCCCAATCTTATCTGCTACTTTTATATCCACTACTTTTATATTCTTTACAATCTTCTCCTTTTTTTTTTTTTGGTATTGGGGTGCTTTACCACTGAGTCACTTCCTATCCTATTTATTTATCTATCTATATATTTATTTGTTTGTATGTTTGTTTGTTTGTTTTTTGAGGCAGGGTCTTGCTAAGTTGCTGAGGCTGGCCTGGAACTTGTAATCCTTCTGCCTCAGCCTCTCAAATTGCTGGGATTACAGGCGTGTAACACCACGTCCAGCTTTCTTCCTGACATTCTTTGAAATCAAGTTAATCTATYATGTTAGACATTATAAGAACTCTTTTGGGGAATGTGCACAGGGAATTGGTCCTTCCTCTTCACTAGGCAATTTCACTGCTGCGGAAGTCTTGGTCACCCCTTGGATGCAGCACAGAGAGCCACTACAGAGGAAGGAAAGTCAGGTGCAAAGTGAGAGACTTGACCGGAGAGACCGTGAAGCCTAATGAAGAGCACAGTTTCTAAAGCTAAACAGGCTGGATTCAAATCCCTACTCAACCACAGAGAAGCTTGGGCAAGAGCAAGCTTGCCRACCCTTTAACGGAAGAGATACTGTGTTCTCTCTGGGTCTCTAGGTAGACATGGCTCTCACAGGCAACAGTAGAGAGTTCCTTGATTCTGACCTCCCTGCCTCAGCAAACAGCCACTATCTTCTCCCTATCTCTTTATAGACGTGAGGAAATCATAAAAGGGTATCACTGAAGAGCTAGAGGATGGCTTCTGCCAACCATCTCCTGTGTGAACTGTGTTCACATAATGCTGCTTCACTCAAGAGCCGCAAACCCAGCAGATTACGAAATTTGTCTGTAAATCGTGTTGGCCCAGGGTGTGGAGAGCAGAGAAAGTGCTCAGGGTGTGGTGGTGCTTTTTTCCTTCCTTTACTCTCCTCATTTTTCTCTCCCTCTCCTCTCTTCTTCTTCTCTTTCTCCTTCACTCCTTCCTTCCCTCCCAGTTTTGCACAGTACGGTTAGTGCTGTCAACAGGTAGATAGGCTGTCTTGAGAAGGCAGCTGCTCCCCTTCGCTGGAGATGTTCAACAAGGACAGTGTGTGAAGATAATTAGAGGAGACCAACCAAAGCACTGGGGGGTTATTTGGATGGATGATATTTAACATTCCTTCCAAACCTGAATATTTTTTTTTCCTAATTGGGAAGCATTTCCTTCCTCCAGAACTCACACAGAAAACAAGTTTGTAGGAAAGAGAAGGARTCGAACACAAAGCAAGGTAAAAGCACACATACTCGGTTAACTATCACAGGTGTGTTTCTTCCTTCCACCACCATCACAACAACAAATCAGAAGAGGTTGTGGGGTGGCTTGGGAGCCATCTGAATGGGATTCATTTGCCGAACTGAATTAAGGCTCAAAGAACAACTAATCGACTCAGCCACCAACCAGATCATGAGGACAGTGGCTGGTCGATTTAGAGAAATGATTGGTTAAACAAATAAACCAGCATTTTGATTCTACCACTAAACTGGCAGTTAATTTAGTATATTAGGGAATCGTACCCTACYCTCTTCTTGCACGAAACAGTCTCAGAATAGGAAAAACAGAAGTGAATACCAGCAGAATAGGTTAGTGTTGCCTACCAGTGCCTTGAAGGGATCCACCCCTATTTCGGAGAACTCAGCCACAAAAGAAAGCTACAGCATGTCTCCCTCCCTGGATTCACAGAMCTGGGCTAGACATCTGAAATCTTGCTTTAATGCAAAAATACACCTACCTGCTCACTTGACCAAAATGGAGTATGGATCACCTCTCTCTGTTAACCTCGGGGGCCATCTCTCAATTTCCTTCCTCTATGTAAATTTGAGTCCCTCTGTGGGCAAGGCCACCACCTCCCCTGATACTGGTGCTCATGGGCATTTCCCAAATGACTCTGCTGGGAAATTGTTGTTTATCATGCAAATTATACGAAGCCAAGGTAAGTTCGCCTTAGAGGACTCTCTATTTTTCCCTTGCTTTCTGTAAAGTTTCTACTTTGATGATGATATGACCTTGATAAGAAGCTTTACTTGAAAATGCATGATTATGTTATAGGTTTTGTGTGTGTGTGTGGGGGGGGGGACTGGGGATTGAACCCTGGGAAACTCTACCAAGGAGCTATACCCACAGCCCTTTTATTGTTATTTTGAGACAGGTTCTCTCCCAGGTTGGCCTTGAACATGCCAGCCAWCTGCCTCAGTCTTCAGAGTAGCTGGGATTACAAGTGTGCATTATTGTTCCCAGAATGATAATGTTATGCTTTAGTGGAATRGATCAAATTAATATTTTGAAGAAAGTATTCAATTTTTGTTTCTGACTTCTGGAAGAAAAATCACTGTGTATTTCCTCACTGGGGTAGGTTTGATAGGGAACTGAAACAATTATCTATAGTAGTAAATGTTTATTGTCAAAACCATTAATTAGGATTCTAAATAACTTGTGTCCTCCTGTGTTCTCATTGATTA